GGGGTGAATGAGAGGGCATGCTCAGCACCCCGAGACCATTGGATGCCCCTATACGTCCATTATTTGATAGCAGGGCTTAGGTTTCCCATTCCAGAATTACTGGTGGGGCTATTATTAGATTACAGTATAGGAATAACCCAATTAACTCCAAATGCCATAAGGGTAATAGTAGGCTTTCTTATATACTGCAGAGTTCGGGGGGTGAGAGTCCCTACAGTGAACATGTTCAAACATTTTTTTATAATAAAGGCTGGGGGTAGGGGGGAGAAGGGGTGGTACTACTTCGGCGCTCGGTCTTCCAGTAAAGGGGATAGGAGTTTATTCTCTGCTGGACCATCATCCATCAAAGGGTGGAAAGAAAAATTCTTCTTTGTGGATGACACTGAGTGGAGTAGGAGGGATGCCGAAGTGGAACAGTTGTCTGCTTGGAAAGCGAAGAAAACCAAGCAGAACAACTATAAGTTGAATGAGGATGAGGTGAAGGAGGTGGAGAAGCTGGTGAGGGAAGATGGAGACGTAGTGGATATCTTGTACCTCACCAGTCCGAAGGCAATAGAGGCTACTGAGCTCTATGGGCCAAGCTCATTGAGCGAAGGTTTGTGTATGTTTATAGTGTGCAATTTTGATGAGATTTTAACTGGTGTGTTCTAATATTGACGTTTGTTTTGCAGCTGAGATGGACGAGTTCATTAATGCGGTTGGGGGCCTGCACATCCCAAAGAAGCCAAGGAAGAAGTCAAAGACTTCAACTGCGGCGGAGAAGGGGGTGGCAGAGAGGGGCCGACTGTCCAGCACTTCTGCTCGGGCTGTGGAGGTGCAGCCAAGGCCGGAGCCTGTGATGGGGGGTAGCGAGGATGTAAGTGAGGAGGTGGCACCTCTCCAGAGGAAGAAGAGGAGGGTGGCAGAGCCAAAAGCCAGGGGGGACGAGGTGGTGGAGTTCGTGCCTCGGCCTTCTCCTCCAGAAATCAATCCTGAAGACAGGGAGAGGGAAGAGGTCGAGGTCCGAGGCCTTGGTGGGGGCAAGGAGCGCATCCCTCCTCACGCGTACTAGAAGAGTTTGTTTGAGGCGACAAACACGACTGGGGCGAAGCACTTCCTCAACTCTACTTTTCCTGAGGTGGATAGGATGCAGGCGAAGGATGAGGTGGTTAGCCATGTGGGGTATACCGTTGTGAGGCATGCCCTAGAGGTATGCGAAATAGTTGGAATTTACTCCGGTTGTATGTTTGAGTTTTTTGACCTCTGTATCTGATGTCTGACTTCTGATTGTATTGTAGAGTGCAAGCTGGACAAACGTTCTAGCGCAGGAGTATGCGGAGAGTGTGAGAGATCGTGCCAGCTTGCTAAGGCAGTGCGAGCAGTTGCAGAAGGAAAAGGATGAGCTGCAGAAGGAGAAGGGGGAATGAGAGAAGGAGAAGAGGGAGATGCAGAGGAGGCTGGATGAAGTTCTCCCTTCAGTGACCGAGCTCCAGAATGAGAATGATGTCCTAAGCGCGAAGCTTGTCCTCAAAGAACGTAAAAGGAAGATCTGTGAGGAGAAGCTTGAGGCTCAGGACAAATACATTGACAACATGAGGAAAGGAGTAGCGGAGCTAAAAAAGAACGTGAACATGCTGGTTCACAACGGGATGGAGGAGCACATTGGCAACTTCCTCAACTCCAGCACCTTCGAGAACATCCTCAAGCTATACCGGCTTCCAACGGCAATCCTAGCCTTCACCGACTGTAGGAAGAAGGTGAAGGCCCAGTATCTAGAGGTGGACGTGACAACGGTCACCTTTGGGGAACAAGAGGGAGGAGTAGAGGAGGATGGTGAGAGTCTCTGTGCTGACTTCCAGCCTCAGATTTCTCTAAGGTGGGAGCGTGATGCAGAGGGGCGCACCATTTTTCCTCCAGCCTTTGACACAGGGTTGGTGGCCGTGGAGGAAGAAGGAGAAGAAGAAGAAAGAGCGCAAGGCGCTGGAGTTGAGGATCAGGCAGCAATGGCCGAAGTGCAGCCTCCCGAAGTGCATCCAGTCTCTTCTGACGAGGTGCAGCAGCTGGCTCCTCCTGAAGCAGAAGTGCCGCCCCTGCCTACTGGAGATGAACCGTCCCAACCCCCTCTCCCTGTGGAGGAGCAGCCTCCTCCTCCAGCAGAGTAGCTTAGGTTTTGTATTTTTAGTTATATTTGTAGATAACTTTTTGTACTTGATTGGTTACTAATTTATAAAATTTTTGAAGTTATTTTGATGTTGTGTTCGTTATTTTTGTTTCAAGTAAATCACTTCAGATGAAATACCCATAAAGAACTGACCTCGGACATCATAACACGATTAGCCAAGGAATTGACTTCGGACATGCACGAGGTAGACCACAAATAAATGAAAGGAGATGAAATAAACTAGTGTAATTGAAAAAATTGCATCCCAGAAAATGAAAGGATTAAATAAGCCATAAGGAATTAACTTCTAATGTTCAGAAGGGTAGAAAGAACTGAATTGCTTCGAATGTGAAGTGAAATTCATATGAATTGAGTTTTGATATACAACAATCAGAATAATGGTGGTTAAAACAAAGTTGACTGGAAATAAGTGTATTAAGGGTAAAATTTCTTCAAGTTATTGGCATTCCAGACTCTAGGAACCCTTTTTTCCTTAGTGTCTTGTAGGATATAAGCACCTGGGTGTGGCACTTCGGCTACGGTGTAGGGGCCTTCCCAGTTTGGTGCTAACTTTCCAAATCGAGTTTCGAACCCCGTTATACCAGCTTTCCTGAGAACAAGGTCGCCTACTTTGAATGGTCGGGGTCGAACTCGTTTGTTGTAAAAGTTTGCTACCTTCTGCTTGTAGACTAGAGTTCGAAGTCGTGCTTCTTCTCTGACTTTGTCAAGCATATCAAGGTTCTCCCGAAGCAGTTGTCCATTCTGCCCTTCATTGAAATGGGTGACCCTGAAGCTTGGGACTCCTATCTTGATAGGTATGACTGCTTCGGTACCAAAGGCCAGATGATAGGGTGTTTCACCTATTTCAGGGGGTTATAACTTTAGAATGCGCTTTACATGTTATGCATATTTTCTCTAAGGTAAAACCGTAGCAGAAGAAGTAAAATAATATAAAATTAATCGAATAGACCAAGTGTAGAGTAATACCTGTGGCAGTTTGACTCGTAGTTCTGTATGGCCAGAGGACGTTGTTGAGCTCGTCTGCCCATTTGGCCTTGTGTTGTTCCAGCCTTGGCATTATACCTTCTAAGATGCACTTGTTAACAGATTCGACCATGCCGTTGGACTCCGGATGGTAAACCGAGGTGAACTGCAGTTTAATCCCGTAACTGGAACAGAAATCTCGGAATGAGGAGCAATTGAACTGAGTTCCATTATCAGCTACAATCTGATTCGGGATCCCATATCCGCAAATAATCGAGCTGAAAACAAAGTCTTCGACCTTCTTGGAGTTGAGACTGGATAATGCCCGAGCTTTAACCCATTTTGTGAAATAATCTACACCAACAATGAGGTGGGTTACACCTCCTACCCCTTTCACAAATGGGCCTAGAAGGTCAAGACCCCATTGAGTGAATGGCCAAGGTGCCACCAACGTAGTGAGCTCTTCTGCAGGCTGGTGGATTAGATGTGCAAAGAACTGACATTTCTGACATCTCTGTACGAACTGAGTGGCATTCTTGTACATGTTGGGCCGATAATAACCCTGTCTAAGGACCTTGTGAGCTAAAGTTCGAGCACCCACGTGACTTCCGCAGACACCTTCATGCACCTCCCTAAGTGCATATTCTACTTCATAGGGATTCAAGCACCGTAGAAGAGGTAGAGAGAAAGATCACTTATAGAGGACCCCATCAACAAGTGTATACCGAGATGCTTTCCTCCTCAACTTCATTGCCTCCTGCCTGTCCGCAGGTACTATCCCGTCTCGTAAGAAGGAGAGGATTGGGTCAGTCCAGCTTGGTGTGCCTGGGTCGGTGCTGATCTCCATTACCCGTGGCTTCATGAAGCTTGGTTCATTTAAGACCTCCACAAAAACCGATCTGGAACGTGAAGAACTATCAGAGGCGAATTTAGAGAGTGAATCTACTTGTTTATTCTCAGTTCGGGGGATTTTGCTTAGACAGTATTTCTGGAATTTGTACTTCAGCTCGGCCACCAGAGCTACATATTTCACCATCACAGGATCAACAACTTCGTAGATTGAGTTAATTTGGTTCACCACTAGCTGGGAGTCAATGTATACTTGGATCGCACTGAGTTTTAATTCCAATGCTAGCTGTAGACCAAGTAGCAGGGCTTCATATCAGCCATGTTGTTTGTTCCATCGAAGTTAAATTTCAAAGCATGTTCACTTCGGTATCCATCTGGGCCGATCAAGAGAGCACCAGCTCCTGAACCTTTGCTACTAGATGCCCCATCAACATATAAGGTCCAGTCATTGGGCTCCAAAGTAGGAATGGAATTACCTGGAGTGCACTCTATAATAAAATCTACCAGTGCCTGAGCTCGGATTGCAGATCTCTACTAAAATGTTATCTCAAATTCCCCCAGTTCTACTGCTCACTTAATTAATCTTCTAGAACACTCAGGCTTTTGCAAAATCTGCCGAAGGGGTTGGTCTATAAGAATAATGATCGGGTGCGACTAGAAATATGGCCTCAACTTTCTGGCCGAAGTAACAACTGCTAAGGCTGCTTTCTCAGCTATAGGATACCTCAGCTCGGCTCCATGCAGCACACTACTGATATAATATATTGGTTTCTGCTGCTTAGCTTCTTCTCTTACCAGAACCGAACTAATGGCTTCATCTGAAATTCCCAGATATAAATAGAGGATTTCTCCATCTTTGGCTTTAGTCAGTAGAGGTGGTGAGCTAAGATAAGACTTCAGCTCGTCGAATGTGGCTTGGCATTC